GATAAGCAAGCTAGAAAGGAGGAAACAGTAGGAATTAAGCCTCCATCATCCAGCGTGACGACAGCAAAAACAACACAGCTGATTACAAGAGGGAGATTGCTGGAAGGGCCTATTAAACGCGCAAGGGCTAAATTGATTAATGGCATATAAAGGCAGAGATCTCTGTAATGGTAGTTTAATACTCTGATAGCTGACGAAAGCTTAGTTAAATAAAATTTTAATTCTTTTAAAATTTTAAAATCTTAAGTTCCGGAGTTCAGTATGTCTGTTTCTTTTTTTACTAATATACCTGGAACTCGTATTTTTAGAGTAGTTTGTAATATATATATTATATAGATATATATATACCCAGCGACAACACATCACACAAGCCATTTAATGGGCTCCATCCCACTCTGGGTTCCCCAGGCCTGCTGGCAGAACGATGTTTTCAGTGCCTTCCGGAAGAGTATTAGAGTGGGGGGGCCATTCTAATCTCTGGGGAGATGATGTTCCAGAGAGAGGGAGCCACCACAGAGAAGGCCCTTCTTCTGGGTCCCACCAGGTGTTAACTCCCTAGGGGATGAGATCCGCAACATTCCTTGCCTCCCTGCTCAGGTGGGAATACCGGTAAGAGAAGATCCCTCAGATAACCTGGTCCAAAGCCATGAAGGGCTTTAAAGGTGACAACTAGCATCTTGAATTACACTGGGAAGTAAATCAGCAACCAATATAGCTCCCGCAGGAGAGGTAATACATGTGCACACCGAGGTCTACACAAAATCATGTGAGCTGCTGCATTTTGCACCAACTGGAGTTTCTGGATGCTCTTCAAGGGCAGCCCCATGTAGAGTGTGTTGCAATAGTCAAGGCAGGGAGTGACTAGGGTAGTGATGATGAACCTTTTTGTCACTGCATGCCGAAAGTGCAAATGTGTGCAGGCAACAGCATGTGCACGTGTCTACATCCATAATGCAATGCGCACAGGAACCACCACCCCTCTGCCCCTACCCCACGTGCATGCACGCGAGACCCCTGCGTCCCTCAGCCCCCCTGCACATGCATGCGCGATCCCCCCACGCTCCCCCCACAAATGTTCGTGTGACCTGTTTTTGGTCCCAGGAGGCTGCAGGGAGGCCTGCTAGGCCCAAAACAGGGCAGGGGTATGTGGCAATCCCCTCTGTAGCCCATTTTTGGTCCCAGGAGGCTCAGGGAGGCCTGCTAGGCCCGAAACAGGGCAGGGGGGTGCGGCAACCCCCTCTGCGGCCTCTTTTTGGTCCCAGGAGGCTCCAGGGAGGCCTGCTAGGCCTGAAACGGGCCACGGGGGGTCCTGCACTCCCCCCGCGTATGCGAGCATGACCCCTCGCCCCCTGCACATGCGTGCACATCTCCCGCATGCGCCCCGTCCCCCGCACATGCATGGCAGACCCAAAAATCAACTGGCCAGCGGGAGGCACACACGCATGCTGGGTAGAGCTAAGCTGGGCGATGGCTCGCATGCCCGCAGAGAGGTGGCACGCGTGCCATAGGTTTGCTATCACGGGACTAGGGCATGAGTGCAGTTAAGAAAGAGAGACTGGCCAAAGCAGTTTAAGATGCTTCCTAGGTGGAATGATTACAAAAGTAATTTATTGGGGTCCACAGCCATAGGAATTTCCACACCAAAGTGACACAAAATGGGGAAAAAATGCAACATATTCAGACACAGAACATAATAAACAACTAAAATAACCCACTTAGCCTGCAGCCCACTGTTTACAAGTTTTCATAGCTGAAAACAAACCTAGCTTTTGTTTCTATAAGATCTTTATATTTGTGGAAAACAGCAACAGTTACCACTGCAAAGTCTGTAAGTGTATTTTAACAAGTGCCACAAGCCTTAAATCTTTATAAAACTTACACAATGAAAGGGATCCCACTTAAACAAGTCAGGTTATTTTTATTCAGGTGTATATACAGGTTGTCGACTTAACAATCATTCATTTAATCACCATTTAAAGTTACAATGGTATTGAAAAAACGTTATTTATGACCGGTCTTTGAACTTATGACCATCAGAATGATCCAAACTTGAGTACAGTGATTGGCTTAACGGTAGCAAAAAGGGCCATAAAACTGGGCATGATTCATTTAACTGCCTTGCTTAGTAACATTAATTCTGGCCCTAATTGTCGTATGTTAAGGACTCCCTGTACTGTACTATGTTTGGTCACCGTTGTGCTCAATTTGCTGTGTTTCACAACTTTGGCAATTCTCCTGGACTTGCTGGCTGGAGAATTCCAGAAGTTTAAGTCCTCACATCGTAAAGCTGGCAAATTTGAGAAACACTGATTTAAAGCGAACAGCACCCAAATGTAGTAAGAGGCTGGGGGTTCATGGCAATACGGTGAAATCTCCACCAGGGTTATTCCCCTGAGCCAAAACTGCGGATAGCTAGATTTGCTGCTAATGCTCAGGGAGCCATCGAGACTCATATATAAGAACATGGATTGCTGCAAGAAAAAAACAACAACACAGAGCACCTTGTTGGTACACAAAAGTTGTTGTTAAAAACTGCTACAGTTTTGGCCCCCCAAAAAAGATGTCTTACAACCAGCTGATCATGGCAGAGCTTGGCAGGGTTGCCAGTTTGACATTCAAGTGCAATCAGCACTTCCTGGTAGCACTGTCTGGATTCAACCCTTATGCTAAGCCATGATTACTGAATGAAGTATAACTGGCTGGTTTGAGGTCACCTGCAACTCTTACATCCTGCAGTGGCTAATCCTGATCAGCCCTTCAAGGCAGACCAGACTGCAACACCCAAGTCATGATGTACTATTGTATTGTATTGTATTGTATTGTATTGTATTGTATTGTATTGTACTGTATTGTATTATTATATTAATTGTATTGTATTGTATTGTATTATTATATTAGATTTATTATATTACATTATTATATTACATATATTACATACTATATTATTTATATCATATTATTTTATATTATATATTATTTTAAATTACATTATAATTATGTATAGTATAGTATAGTATAGTATAGTATAGTATAGTATAGTATAGTATAGTATAGTATAGTATAGTATAGTATAGTATAGTATATAGTGTAGGATATTGTAGTATATTATATTGCAGTATATTGTAATATAGTATATATACATTATAATACTATAATATACATAATATATATAATATTATTTATTTATTGAAGAATTTTTTATGACTGCCCACTCACTCTCTGGGCAGCTTACAAAAAAATAAAAACCCTGAAAAACGCACCATTGGGACAACCATGACCTGGATGACGGAGAATCTCTGCAGACTTTTAGATTTAGTCTTCTGAGCTTTCAGATTCGTGCTGGAGCCCATCCTCAAGAAACTTCTGTGTGCCTGTCCCCAAGGTGCTTTTTTTCAGGAGGCAACTGGACTTTCTTGTTTTTTCTTTTGAAGACGTTTCGCTCCTAATCCAAGAAGCTTCTTCAACTCTGACAGGATACTGAGGAATGGAAGGATTTATATTCCTTGTAGAGCTGGTCATTTGGGACAACCATTTGGGACAATCCAGGTCATGGGACAACCATGACCTGAGAATCTCTACGGACTTTTAGCTATGCAATTTGGGATGAACACCTTTTGAATGGTGTGGGAGTAGGAATGGATTTTCAGAGGGGAAATTGCAGACTACAGGAACCATTTGCACCACTCAGGTGACCCTGAGGACACAGATAAACTTTCCCTCTAAAAGGATGCAAATGACCAGCTGTCTGCAAGGAACATAAATCCTTCCATTCCCCACCATCCTGTCAAGAGCTGAAGAAGCTTCTTGGATGAGAAGCGAAACGTCTTCAACAGAAAAAACAAGAAAGCCCAAGAAGAGGTCCTACCTGTCAACAACTTTTTCAGCTTCAACCGCAATAATGCACGGGCAAACAATAAATACAAACTTAAGGTAAACTACTTCAAACTCTATTGCAGAAAATACGACTTCAACAAGAGAGTGGTCAATGCTTGGAATGCACTACCTGACTCTGTTGTTATATCCTCAAACCCCCAAAATTTCACCCTTAGTCTACTGTGGACCTCATCCCATTCCTAAGAGGTCTGTAATGGGGCGTGCATAAGTGTACCAGCGTGCCTACCATCCCTGTCCTAATATCCCCATTTATATGTTTATATGTTATGTTTATACTTATACTTGTTTTCTCATACATGCTTGACAAACGAAAGACAGAAAGAAAGAAAGAAAGAAAGAAAGAAAGAAAGAAAGAAAGAAAGAAAAGAAAGAAAAAGAAAGAAAGAAAGAAAGAAAGGAGGGAGAGAGAAAGAGAGAGAAGAGGATAGAAGGAAGGAAGGAAGGAAGGAAGGAAGGAAGGAAGGAAGGAAGGAAGGAAGTGAGAGAGAGAGAGAGAAGATAGGAGGGAGGGAGGGAGGAAGGCTTAATTTACAAAGATAGGCCCTTAAATTTCATCAAACCCCAAAAATCAAGAAAGAAAGAAAGAGAGAGAGAGGGAGGGAGGGAGGGAGGAAGGAAGGAAGGAAGGAAGGAAAAGAGAGAGGGGGGAAAGAAAGAAAAAAGAAAGAAAGAAAAGAAAGAAAGAAAGAAAGAAAGAAAGAAAGAAAGAAAGAAAGAAAGAGAAAGAAAAGTCCAATTGCCTGAAAGTCCAAAGCAACTCTGGGACTCCAGTGATGGAGAGCCCCCACAGCTTCTGGAGGCAAGCTTGGCCAATGAGCTGCTGCACCAGGACTCCCCAGCCAAGTGGGGAGGGGGGGTTGCCATCCATTCCAAACCCCCATAATCCCCAGCCCACATTGGCTCCAATTTAGGAGAGCCAAGAGTGGCCAGACTGAGCCTTCAACCTAAGTGGAGAGGCGCTTCCTCCGTCCCGGGAGGGAAGCCATTAACGGGGAAAGGGGGGGGGGTTGCAGTTGAGGGTGGGGGGGAGGCTGGGCTGCAAGAGGGGCGCCGGGGAGAGGGAGGGACCCCTGCCCGCCCCCCACCCACCCATGCCGGGCACTTACAGTAAATGAAGGCGGTGGCGCGCAACAGCACCAGCCGCGTCAGCCAGAAGGTGCCGGGGCGCAAAGAAGGCGCCGGTGGGGCGCGCGGCTCCCGCGGGTCGGGGGCGTCTCCCGCCGGGCCCCCCCGCCGCCGCCTCAATTCCCCCGCGCTCGCAGCCATGCCTCCCGGTCTGGCCGAGGGGCGCATGCGCGCCGAGGGGAACGGCCACGGAGCGCGCGCTCATTGGCGGAGGCGCGCGCCAGCCGGAGCTGTCCGGGCTGGCGAGGGTTGGGGAGGGGGGTGAGAAGGAGGGGAGAGGGCGCGCGACGGCCCTGCGCTCCTTTTTTCTGTCTTTCCACTCCACCCCCCCCACCCGTAAGCATTGCTTCGCCCGGGCTTTCCAGGCTCGGTCCACGAGCAGGCGAGCTGCTTGTTTGTTTGTTTGTTTGTTTGTTTACTTACTTACTTACTTATTTATTTATTTGTTTGTTTGTTTGTTTATTTATTATATTTCTATACCGCCTTTCTCCCATAGAACTCAAGGCGGTGTACAGTCAAGAAAAATATAGACACACAAACATCATAAAATTGCTAATTAAAATTATTACTTAGTTTGGTCAATTAAATAAAACCCAGAATTAGATAACATTAAAAAAAAAAAAAAAGCTTCCCCACGCCCGTGTGTGTCTCTTGCAAGGCTCGCTTTGCAACGGGGTTGGGGGGAAGGAGAAGCCAGAGCCGTGATCTGGAGAGCGCAGGGTGGGAGAGATGGGGAAAGCATACAGTAGTGGCCCAAATTAATCTTAAATTAATAAATAAATTGTTATTCATTAAATTAATAAATTTAATTTATAAAACTAATAAATTTTATAACCAAGGAGAGATTCAACCTGGAAATAATAAGAACATTTCTGACTGTGAGAACAATCAACCCATGGAACAGAAGTTGCCTTCAGAAGTTGTGGGAGCTTCATCACTGGAGGCTTTCAAGAAGAGACTGGACAGCCATCTCTCAGAAATGGTGTAGGGTCTCCTGCTTGGGTGGGGGGTTGGATTAGATGACCTACAAGGTCCCTTCCAACTCTGTTAATCTGAAATGAGTTGCCTTTGTGGAGAGACACATTTTGCGCAGTGCAGGGACCTCTTGCCAAATGCATGGCCGTTTTCAAAGGCAGATGGATGCGGCTAAGTCAGCAGGGGAGCATGGGACCTGGAGTTGAACCGGTAAAACAGAGCAATGTGCTCCGATCATGCAGAGAGGGACTTTTCCTTTCAACTGAAAGTCCTGAATGAAAGGTTTATAGCATGCTTCAAACTGAAAGTAAAATCACTTTTTCTTAAATGCCACCTTCCTTATTTGCTTAACCCAATTGTGTAAAAGTCACATAGTGGCATACGGGCAGAGTGACCTTGGGGTCGACCAAATTCTGCCAAGCATCTAGCCCACAAATTTCCTCTTTTCTGTGGAAGGCAAGGGGCTTTTTCCAGCTTCAGCGGAACAATCTCAAGGAAATAATTTTAAAGGGTTGGAGGGGGGTTTATTAATAGAAAAATCTCCAGTTTCTCAAAGTTTGGTGTGATGCTGAAACTGATGATCTAGAAATTGGGGGGTTGGGGGTTCTAGTCCTCCCTTAAGTGTGAAAGGCAGCAGAGTGACTTTGGACCACCAGTCCAAACCTGACTCGGAGGGTTATTATTTTGGGGAAAGTAGGAAGGGGGAAGAGCATTAAGTACCTTACTTTGAGTTGTACAAATAAAGGTGGGATAAAAATGAAATTTAGGTAGTCTTTAACTTACCTGTCTTGGGACAAGAACTTCCATTTAACAGATTTAACAGATTAACAAAGTCGGAAGGGACCTTGTAGGTCATCTAGTCCACCCCACCTCACCCCACTCCCGCCCAAGCAAGAGACCCAACACCATTTCTGGAAATTTATTTATTTATTCATTCATTGATCACATTTTTAAACAGCTCATCTCCCTCACAGAGCATTATACTAAGCAAGATGGCTGTTCAGTGAATGGTGCCCAATGTTGTGACAATTTTTTGCCGTGATTGTTAAGTGAATCACTGCAGTTGTTAAGATAATTTGTCAGCTTCCCCCAGTGACTTTGGCTGTTGGAAGGTCAGAAATAGCAATCCCAGGACCATGAGACAATACAACGATTGTGAATGCGTGACAATTGCCAAGCTCCTGAACTGTAGGGTTGCTGCAAAGGTTTGGAAATGGGACGGTCAGTTGGATGTCACTTTTTCCAGTGCTGTTGTATGGATGGAATGGAATGGAATGGAATGGAATGGAATGGAATGGAATGGAATGGAATAGAATAGAATAGAATAGAATAGAATAGAATAGAATAGAATAGACCCTATTCTATCTCCTAGACCTAGAGAGTCTCTGGAGGCTGGGGACAGCAAAAAATGTCACTTCCTGTCCAACCAGGAGTTGGGAAATGGGCCATTTCAGGCCTCCGGAGGGCCTCCGAGGGGATGGGGAAGGCTGTTTTCGCCCTCCCCAGATGCATAGAGAGGATCTGGAGCCAGGTGAGAAAGAAAAATGGGCCTTCCCCACCCCCACCCCCCTCAGGCCCTCCAGAGGCAGGAAACAGCCTGTTTCCCTACTTCTGATGAGCCCAGAAGGCCTGAAAATCAGCTGGCCAGCGCGCGCATGTGCGCCAGAGCTGAGCTGACATGCCCACTGATATGGCTACATAGGTTCGCCATCACTGGAATAGGAAAGGGGAATGGGAGGGAACGGAACAGAATGAAGGGAAGGGACCTTGGAGGTCTTCTAGTCCAGCCCCCTGCTCAAACAGGAGAAGTAACTTTCAGACAAGTAACCGTCTAGTAGTCTCTTCCTGAAAACATAATTTTATGCTGGTTCTTGTTTTGTTTTTATAGAATTTAGTTGCTGTCCTTTTCTCTAGCATATCAATAAACTTAAGGAAATTTGTGTCAGAATCAGAGATCGTCTGAAGAATGTTTTGTTTTTTTTTAATTTGATTTATATGCCACCCTTCTCCGGAGACTCAGGGCGGCTTACAATGCGTTAAGCAATATACTTTTGCATATTTATACAAAGTCAGCTTATTGCCCCCACAAACTGGGTCCTCATTTCATCTACCTTAGAAAGGATGGAAGGCTGAGTCAACCTTGAGCCTGGTGAGATTCGAACCTGCAGTAATTGCAGACAGCTGGTGTTAATGCTTTTAGTCTGCTGAGCTACCAGGCCCGTGGGCACCTGTGGGCACCTGTGGGCACCGAAATGGCCCAGATAGATACCTGTTTTTCTTCCAGGCTCTGGTTCTCAGAAGATTCTTTGAATTAAAATATAATAACTGTCTTGTTGCAAAATAGGAGAGGTATAATTGGCTGCTAAACCTGATTGGGAACCCTACCCCCCAAAGTGTCTATGGAGATTCTCAGTCATCGGGATCTTGGTTGTCCCAAAGGTGCTTTTTTAAGAGGCAACTGGACTTTCTGGACTTTACCGGAAAAGTCCAGTTGCCTCTTGAAAAAGCACCTTTGGGCCTCCCCCCCCCCCCCAAAGGCCTTCTGGTTCTTAAAAATGGGGGGCCCAACTCAAAAGGAAACTCAAGATGCAATCGGAGATTCAAAGGTACAGCTCATCTGCCTGGAACCCACACTGCATATCGGACATGAATACAATTGAGTGTGTCCAGAAATATTTCACAAGAGTCCTCCACTCCTCCGCTCGCAACAAAATACCTTAGGCCATCAGACTTGAAATTCTGGGCTTAGAAAATTTAGAACTACGCCGCCTTCGGTATGACCTAAGCCTGTGATGGCGAACCTATGGAACGCGTGCCACAGGTGGCATGCAGAACCCTCTCTGCGGGCACGCCAGCAGTCACCCCAGCCCAGCTCCAACACGCATGCACGCGCACTTGCCACCGACCCACTGGTTTTTGGGTGTCTGCCACGCATGCAGGGGAAGTGCAGGTTGGTGCAGGAGGCTTTCCAGGCCCAAAATGGGGTGCAGGGGGACCTCAGGCAGTGCCCCCATGCCCTGTTTTGGCTTCCAGGTTGGTGCAGGAGGCTTTCCAGGTGCAAGCCTCTTGCATCAACCTGGAAGCCAAAACTGGGTGGGGGGGGGGGGGCTGGGGGGCATGTGCAGGGGACATGTGCATATACGTGGGGGTGGGGCGCATGTGCAGGGGGTGCGCTCCCATTGCATTTTGGGGGTTCGGGCACCAAAAAGATTAACCATCACTGACCTAAGCATAGCTCATAAAATCATCTGCTACAATGTCCTACCTGTCAATGACTACTTCAGCTTCAACCACAAGAATATATGAGCACACAATAGACACAAACTCAAGGTAAACCGCTCCAAACTTGATTGCAGAAAATATGACTTCAGTAACAGAGTGGTCAATGCCTGGAATGCACTACCTGACTCTGAGGTTTCATCCCAAAATCCCGAAAATTTTAACCTTAGACTGTCTACTGTTGACCTTACCCCATTCCTAAGAGGTCTGTAAGGGGCGTGCATAAGAGCACCAGCATGCCTTCCGCCCCTGTCCTAATGTTCCCTTTAATTGTATTGATTGACTGTATGACTGTAGCCTTGTTGCTTGGATCCTTACGATTTATATTGATATTGTTTCCTGATTGCTTATTTGTTCCCTATGACTATCATTAAGTGTTGTACCTTATGATTCTTGATGAACGTATCTTTTCTTTTATGTACATTGAGAGCGTATGCACCAAAGACAAATTCCTTGTGTGTCCAATCACATTTTGCCAATAAAGAATTCTATTCTATTCTATTCTATGTATTCAATTCATGCTTATACTTATATATATTATCTAATACGTACTCAACAAATAAATAAAATAAATAAAATAAGTAAATAAAATGAATAAAATAAATAATAAATAAATAGCAGAGATTGCGGCTAGGGAGAGGTAGGACAAGCAAAGGGCTTCTTTGCAAGAGAGATGCGTTGGGAAACAGACCCCCGCTTCCTTCCTTGGGATTCTATAGTGCGCTCACTCTAGGTGGGAGTTTAGGATCGCTGCGGCGCCGCGCTGGATTTGCCAATACGAACCTCAGGTTGGTAGCCCCGAAACGGCAGCAACGAGCCCCCTTGCCTTCGCTTTCTACCCTCTCCGCAACCCATGCGCGGCTTAGTTGGCTCGTTCTTGGTTCGCGACCAGCCCGGC